CCTAAAGCATGACAAACATGTTTAAGCAGAGACACTTATTCCAACACATTCTCACAGGGACTTTCTGCTACATCAGCCATCATCAGCAGGTGGTCTGCAACAAAAGTCCCACACTCTGAACTTTATTCATTACTGAAGCATCTGTTATTAGATATCTGCATTTTTTAAGCAATGAGCTAGATTTTTCTTCTGCATTATTTGGCTTAATCCTCATAACAACCTCATATGATAGGCAACTTTATTTCCATGTTACCCATGTGAACAAAAGGCTCAACATCACTTGGGAACCAGTGATTCTGAGATGCTAGCAAGAATTGATTTCTGGTGCTGATGCAAAGTTCAGAGTGTGGGATTTTTGTTGTTGCTGTTGTTACACATTTTTTTTTTTTTTAAGGAGACGCCTGACTGGCTGTCTCTGTCAATACCTGTCATGCCCTGTAAATCTGCTACAAAATTATACACCTTCCCATTATCCCACCTCACTAGGGCTAACATTAACTGACACAGCAACAGTCTTGAGAATGAGATGTGAGGCGGGTCACAACAGCTCCCAGAAACATAGGATTGGATGTGACTGGGGCAGACAATCAGTGGGTCCACCTGAGTGAGTTCCATAGTCCCTCTCTGATAGCGCACGTTCCATGCGGGGACGCCGACATCAGGACTGAGGACTATTTCAGGCAACCTGACTCTTCCGGGGGAGGGAGGCCTGTAGCTAACGCTGTAACTAAGCAGATGTTCCGCAATATGACAGAATAACACCTTCCTAGTCCTACTTCAAACAGACATAATATTACCTATGCTCATTTTTCTGGAAGAAGCACATGAAGTGGCTTTGTGGTATAAGAAAATGCTGTGCCCTCACAACAATATGATCTGAGTTTCACATATTTGTAAAACGAAACAAACACTTGACCTGTCCTAACAGTCTTAAACCATATTTGGCAGTACCAGATTTTCAAGGATTTGGCACATCTGGAGCAATTATTTGGGAACTAGAATTCACTCCTAAGTGTCCAGAACTCTCAAAAGAAGCTGAGGGTCCAGCACTGCAGCCTAGCAGGTAGAGATGCAGCCTGCGACACCAGCATCCCACTTCTCACTTCCGATTCAGCTCTCTGCTGGTGCGCCTGGGAAATGAGCAGAAAGTAGCACAAATCCTTGAGCACCTGCACCGCTGTGGGAGACCTGGAAAAAACTCCAGGTCGCTGACTTTTGCCTAGCACAGCTCCAGTCACTACAGCCATGTGGAGAGTAAACCAGCAGACCAGATTTCTCCTTTTCTGTTTTTCCATCTAACTCTACTTTTCAATATATGTGTTATATGTTTACATATGTATACATGCATGTATAATAGATTTGCTTATATGTATATATATGAACTTGGATAAAGAACTTGGTTAACATAGGCTAGTGTATAAGTTTGTTATTTGGTGCTTTAAGAAGTTATTAAGCTTAAAAAAACAAGCAAATATTCTAGCATGGCTTTTCTGGAATTCATTGAAAATTTCAAATATATAGTCAAGATATGCATGTGCATGTGTGTATACAGATGGTCTGTGTGCATATATATACATATGCTATCTGTACATATAGGTGCTATGTAGACACGATGTAACACGTTGCCTCCGACCAAGCAGATGATAGGAACATGGAGGTAGAAAGTAGCTTCAAAAGCCAGGATTGGGTTTCTCCTTCCTATTTTGACAGTTAAGTCTCATGGTCTGCCACAGTGATAAATATTACGGCGTCAGTTTACTTCCTAACATCTTATTAGTTCTAGGAAACATTTCCATCATTTCAAATTTAAGAAAAGGTATAAAGTAAGCAGTTCACACCATTCTAGACCTTCTAGAATCCTCAGCACTTCACTTCATTGTTTGCTCCAAATATCCCCTAAACTCTTATAAATCTAACAGTTTAATCTTTGCCGCACTAGTCACTAATGCATTCTTATATTCATATGTATTTACTTAAATTACACCCATCTCCTTTATGACTAAAGAGGTTAAAATTATTCTGTATTGTAGTTCAAACTATTCTACCTCTAGAGTATATGATCATATTTAATAATCAGGGCATCAATATTTAATGAATTAATAAATGATTAAATGAAGGAACAATGAGCTCAATTGTCATTGTGCCCACCCCAAGCTGCCTAGAATCAGATTAGGTGATTTTCTCTGAATCTAAACCAAGACAGCTACTGTTGACATGTTATTGAGTTGTCAAAGATTCAACAACGCCATTTGCATTTGAGAGTGGAATAAGAGAAACAAAAAAGAAGGGAGGGAAGAAAAGAGAAAGAAAGAATGGGAATACATGGATGCTGGTGATTGTCTTAAGGGCAAAGAGTGGATGAATGAGGTAGGCAGTCAGCCTTGAGCTGAGAGACTCTGGTGAAAGGCAGAGGATGGTAAGCTCGTATCGATATGCCTGGTGAACTTCCTATGCATAGCAGGGCCTGTGCACCACGCATATTACCAATACGACATTATATTTCACTCTCTATAGCTATGATCTGCTGTCAGACTAAACAGGGGAAAGCGCCCGTTTCCCTTAACCACAGACTATTTTCCCGAGAACAGAGATGCGTTAGTCTGGGCCTTCGGATACAAGTATCTAATGGGAAGGCGGCTCAGTGTTCATTATGGCATCAGCACAGAGCCATTGTGCAACCACGCAGGGACGATCTTGAACCCGTCACTTTCGATTCTGTTTCTCTAAATGCAGAGGAAGGAATACTGATATCTAACTCACTTTAAGACGATAACTATGAATTGAAGATGTACAAAGCCTAATGCACTGTCATATTAATTTTTGAATACATCAAAATTATACTTTACTAACAAATGCCTTTGTTTAATTATGTGAGAAACTGCAAGAACCAAATGAAGTATTATCAGTGAGTGTGCAACATTCCTACACAGATATTGTGATTTATAAGCCAAATCAAAGTTTACCTTGAAAAGTTTTCTTAAAACCTTCCTGTATGAGTACTATAAAGTCATAACTTATTTTTCAAAATACGAGAGAGGGCCCACCGCTGTAGCCTAGTGGCTAAAGTCCTTGCCTTGCATGCACTGGGATCCCATGTGGGCAACAGTTTGTACCCCATGGCTGTTTCACTTCCCATCCAGCTCCCTGCTTGTGGCCTGGGAAAGCAGTTGAGGACGACCCAAAGCCTTGGGACCCTGCACCCGTGTGGGAGACCTGACAGAAGTTCCTGTCTCCTGACTTTGGACTGGTTCAGCTCAGGCAGTTTTGGCACCTTAGGAATGAACCAGCAGATGGAAGATCTTTCTGTTTCTTCTGTGTGTGAATGTGAATTCCTTCCACTTCGCCCCCGATCAAATAAATTCATAAGAGAGAACTAGATGGTAAGATCAGTTAAAAATAGGTAGGCTGGGATCACAATTTCCACGAGCCCGGCATTGTAACTGTAGCGCTTATCTGCCAATCCAGTGTTCCCATTTCCCACCGAACACCTGTCTCATCTGGGACCAGAAAGGAGAAATCATTATGGGAACATGGACATCAAGCTCAGTGTTGAGGCACTATGAAACCGCTGAGTGTCTCACACACCTAACTTCCTCTTGCTTGAATACTCACTCCACACCTTACAGAAGAGAGGAGAAGCCCTTTGAAGCTTCTTTCCTCCCATGCTCTCTTCTCATGGATACTTCTCTGATCCGCTCATGATCAGTATGTCTCCAAGTGGGGTTGGCTGCACTCTTGCCTGACTCCATATTCACTCCCTTACATAAACCCTGCACTCATTTTTTCCCTCTATTTATGCATGTGCTTTGAATTCTTGTCACTATGGGGACAAGAACTTGGAATAAAAATGTAGATACTTATGCCATAAAACCTACATCAGACACTTGAAGATAGTAATCATTGAAAAATATATCCTGCAGTCTAAATTGTACCCTGAGTTTTAAAATAAGCACATACAAGTTATCCTGAAGATATTAACATGAAATTATTAACATAATTATGGAAATACAAAAGATCAATTTCACTAGTCTTATAAGAAAAAAATCTAGATAAAAATGATTTAGAATATCATTAATACACATTTTTTCTTTAAAAATACATGTCAATTTAAATATCCCTTCATTTTGTCTTTCAAAGCAGGTACAAATGTCCACAATACATTATAAATGCTGTATTTCTACTCAGAGCAGTTATTTAAGATGCATACAAAGGCTAAGATATACTAATAGCAGTCTAGCTACTTATTACCAAGAATGTTGGACATAAACTTGTCAGCTTACAATTGTTTGGTACAGCCAGTTACAAAAGCATTGCAAAGTATTCACAGAGAAAAAGATTCGAAATACTCTTCCGTCATGAACCACCTACACCTGTGACCTCTGACATGGAGACAAGTTAAGTAATCAACATTACAGCACATCCAAACAGGCAGGGGACTGAGTCTTCCACATGGACACTAACATCACAGTCCAGAAAAGCAACAACATTGTAACGAAGGTGAGCAGAGCAAATAGAATAGTGTACATGCACCTGTATAAATCACAGTCATTATATAGCTTTCACCAAAAATATAAATGATAGACACTGAAAATAATCCCTTCAACCTAAAATCTATGAAGATTTTAACATAAAAACATCTATCTATTTTGTAATGGCAGATAAAGTTTATGAAAGACAAAGGCTAGTTTGTTACCTCTGGCACATTCACCTGTTCTTGCAAGCCTGGTTGGAACTGTTTTCAACAATTCCATACTTCGAATGCCTAGAACTATCTTCCATCTCTTTTCAGACTATTATAAAACTTTATCAGATTCTTCTCTAACTGCCAAAGTTAGAGCGAAAAGACTTAGCTTGGATCCATTATCAAGGGAACATGCTACTGGTTCCTCTCTCCTCCAAATTCAGGGTGTAAGCACAAGTGTTGGTGTAGATACGAACCAGTCATTAAGAAGAATCTTAATGCAGAAATTTCACCCAACTAGATTCTAAAAGGGACTTACAGCTTTCTATTTCCAATGTGCAGTTCTGTTCATCCAGTGGATACCGTCTTAGGTCCATCATGCAGGCAGCTGTGGTTGTGATTCTAGAAAATAAACAATGATATATATTACTAGCAGGTCCATTGCTCTATTTACCATGGAAACCCAAGCAGTGAAGAAAAATGTAGCCTAAGCTCTATCAAAAGTATTGTAACTCTCAATGGCCACTTTCCTTTAACAGTCTGATGTTAACTTGCAAAATAAACTGAACTAAACTAGTATTTTCCAAGGTGTAATCTGTGAACAATTTTTACCAAAACCATGGGAGAATGTTTGCCATCATACCCATCATTCCCATCTCTCCAGAATGTCTAATGGAGAGCCACATTTGGGGTAGAAGTAGGGATCTACTTCTTCCCACATTACTTTTTTACTACCTTTCCCTAAATCCTAAAAAATAATCTATCAATCACAAATGAATTTTGACCTACCATTTTCCTTTTTATCTTTTGTACATAGCACAGCATTCTGTCAGTGCTGTACTATAAGTCACAGGCATCATTTTAGCCATCACTTGATCAATTCTGTATAATCTTACATTCTTATGACCTGTAAGACAGTTGCATTCTATGGCTTCACACACTTACTATTTTAGAACATGTGCTACTTATTTTATCAAGGAGAATAGAATCTGTCTTCTTAAATTTGTGTTTTTATCTTTCTTCCAGGATCTTTTTTTCCCTCTAATCTATGTAGCAAACATCCTGGACCCAGAGGTAAATAGTGCTGCATGATTCATCAACATGTTTTCCCATCAGTTAGGTGATGTGAGGTCATGAAAAAGCATACATTCTTTCATATAACAGATGTAGCTTTAAATTACAATGTTTTCTAAAGTATCTAACAGAATGCCTAGCAAAATATACATCTACTGAAGAAAACTAGGAGCAGACACCATTACATTTAAATTTAGTCAGCTTATATGTTCTTTACTGTGGGAGGTCATCCATGTGCTAGAAACAGAAGTAAAAGCTGATTTCAGTTTGGGAGACATAGTGAATGCAATTCCTCGGTTAGGAATAGTGTATGGAATTCCTCAGTTAGGTCTCAGAGTCCCACTCCTTAGTTATACAGTAGAAGGAGAGAAAATGAGAAATACTCCATTTCCTGGCTTACTTCCTAAATGCCCCAAACAGCTGTGGCTAAGCTAGGGTGAAGTCAGGTGCCATGAACTCCAGGCAGGCCTCACATGGGCAGTAGTGATCTAGCTGCTCACAGCCACTGCTTTACATATCTGCTTCACACTGTTAAGCCGCATGCTATGTTACTTTTTGTATTTTGTATTAAGTAACTCTCCTGGGGCTGATGTTCATCTTTACACCTTTCTTTCTTTATTAAGTCCTCTTGGCTACTCTGCCTCATTGCATTACCGTACCCATGACTCCATCTGGCATTCTGTATCCATTGTCTCACATCCAAGTCAGCCAATAGCTTGGTCTCCTAGCCTCTCTATTTCTCTCAATACCATCCATTATGATCTCAAAACCACCTTGGAGCTTATCATTTGCTCGACTGAGTTTTTTGGTGATCTTCCCTGTGAATCTCAAATTTTGTTTATGGCTTGCTTGTACTGAAGGTTGTGTGCCAAGTCTTATTTCCCAATGGCCTTTCTGGCTGTGCCACTGCTCCATTGCTTTCAAACATCATTATTTTGCTCTCTCTCTCTTCCTTTTTTGATCCTGCAGCTCAAATGTCAAATCTTCCAAGAAGCTCTTCTGGTCAGAAAATTCACTTCCCAAATGCCCACAACAGGCAGAGGTAGAATAGGTTAAAACTAGAGTTGGGAACTCAATCCAAGTCTTCCATGATAGTGGCATGTGCCCGACTGGTTGAGTCATCAACTGTTATTTCCAGAGCAGGCATTAATAGGATGTGGTATAAGAACTTGAACCCCCACACTCTGATATGGAACTCGGACTTCCCAAGTTAACTGCTAAGCAAATAACCTAGTAACTTTTTTTCATTGTTGTTTATTATTTTGAGAATCTCAACTGCCAGTGACAACCTGAAAACTAGTGGCACAGAACAGAAATGATAAAGCAAATAACATTAAGTACGATGGGGATACCAAACAGAAACAAAGAAAATTAACACATCCACAGGATGAATACAAAAGACATATAAGTTACAGGGGCACACATGACTCAGGAGAGCTGAGCATAAATGGTCTGGTTTGGTAAATGATGTGAAGTTTGAAATTGCTAGTGTACACTGTAGTTCACTTTCTGAAAGTATCTGTGAAGCATTGCTGTGAATACCAAGAAAACAAATCAACAAATGCTATCATAGGAGCAGTGACTTCTGTTCATTTTAAAAATAAAACAGAAGAAAGTGTTTTTCTCACAATATTCTTATTTATGACAGTAGTTTTTCTGTTTTACACTTCACAAAGTTAAAAAAAAAAAGCAGTTTAAGTGCTTTCCAGGCAGTATAAAATCCTTGTAGGTGTTTTTTGTTGAATTAAATGGAAGCTCTAGAGTCAGAATAATTCTCTTGTGTCTTGACCACATGGACAAGGATGAATGACCTGAGACATGTCCCTTACACCCTCTGTGCTTGTCTTGCCACCATAGTTCATCATCAGATGACAAAAGTATGAAGATATTTGTAAATCATAAGAACTTATTTCTGAAGCTATGTCTAGCTACTGATGATACATACAGGAAAAGCTCATTATAATATAGGTTACTTGATTGTGTATGTCTGAGCACACAAAGAAATAGAACATTCAAGATACTTATAAGCAGAGATGTAAATAGCCTACCAACCAAAAATCATGCAAAATAATTATGACATATGTGAATATGTAACTTTGTAAGACAAAGTACAGAAGTGAAGGAAAACTACAATTTTCCCAGGTGCCTTTAGAGATGAGAGACCTTGTTTATTTTTATTATAGTTGCACATTCAGCATCTTGCTACCTGCCTGAAAATGTCACTAATTCAATATTAAACTAATAGGGATGAAAAGGACAAAGAGAACTACATTCAGAAATATTCTTAAACTAAGGATACTGAAAAGAATGCTCCCCATTAGGTGGTTGGTTAAAACAAAATATCAAATTAATCTGAGATTCAAAATCATGTTTACAGATGCGACACTGGAGTGAATCTTACTTGGAAAAACTCAGTAATCAAGTACTTACATCTGTTCTTTGAGATTTTTGACTGAAAACATGGCTGGGTTTCTACAAGAATGTTAATACAATAAACACACGTAACGAGATTTTCATGAACATGTGAATCCTGACAGAGATCTTTAACAGGCCTTCAATTACTCAACACTGGAGGCAGTTGCAATGGCTCAACAGGCTAATCTTCCATCTACACGTGCTAGGATCCCAAATGGGTGCCAGTTCATATCTAAATAGCTACTCCACTTCTCTTCCAGCTCCCTGCTTGTGGCCTGGAAAAGCAGCAGAGGAGGGTCCAAAGCCTTGGGTCCCCGCACCTGTGTGGGAGAGCCAAAAGTAGCTCCTCGCTCCTGGCTTTGCAGCAGCTCTGTACCATCCATAACAGCCACTTGGGGAGTGAGCCAGTGGATGGAATTACTCTTTGTCTCTCCTCTGTGTAAATCTGCTTTTTAGTAAAAAAAAAAAAAGTTTAAAAAAATTTAACATCAATATTAAGAGCTTTTAGAATGGATCAAGTAAAACATTATATAAGTGTTGCTGAACAACAAACTGGTTGGATACTTTGTTGTAGAAACCACAAACTGGGTCCACTCAACTGATTAACAGAAAGTGAATCACCAACACTGGGGCAGTAAAAGAAGGTAGTACTTAATACAAAACACAGCCTAAGGAGTAAGGAAGCTATTGTTTAATTCCCAAGCTCCCCAAAGAGTTAGGATTATGGGTTCTTATAAGCTAAAATTGGGGATGAGAGGTTTGTGTTCAGTTTTGTCCAACTCCTGATTGGTCAGTGGAGTGCACAATTCTTTTGATCACATCAAGGAAGTCTCTCTGCGAGAATGCCAAGTGCTTGTCTCCCCAAAAGCTACAGTCCACCAGGTCAGGTCAACCCACACTGCAGGGTTGACTGAAATTTCAGCTGATGATGAAGTTTGGAAGAAGTTACCAATCATACCCTTCTGATGGCTTTTCGTCTTGAGCAAACTAGACAGAATTAGAATTCTGTCCTTTTGAGCTTTGTGTTTTTAGCCTCTGGATTGCTAGCTGCTATTCTGCTGGTATTCTAGCTGCTATTCTGTTTTTTTTTTCCTCTTTCTCCAAATTCTTTTTGAAAGATTCCACTTTAACCAAATTTTTGAGTTTTCCTCTCATAGAGTAGCTCCCCTGATAGGACCATGAGGGGTTTCTATCTTCAGTAAATTTTGCTTTGCTCGTTGAATTCATACATGTGAAAATCCTTGTTTCTTGTGAAAGGGGAACTGCGGTTGCCTTTGTCTTTTACGTCAATTTCCCCCTTGCACTAATGTACAGCCTAGGAAGCAGCCTGTGATGGTTCAAGTAGATGGGTCCTGCCATGCACGTCTCAGAACCTGCTTGACTCAATAGCTCCTAACATGGCCTGACTCAGCTTGAACTGTTGTTGATATCTGGGGAGCAAACAAGGGAGAAGATGTCTCCCTCTGTCTCTCAAATAAATACATGAATGAATAAAAGCCTTTAAAAATATGTCTAATTGAGAGTCTGAATGAGAAGGAGAAAGCATCAGAGAGCCTGGAAAGTGATCCCGACCCACTGGTATACTCCCCAAATGCCCGAGACAGCCAGGACTGAGTCAGGTGGCAGCTGGGAGCTGAGATTTCCATTCAGGTCCCCATTTGAGTTCCCAAGACCAAAGAGTCTTCCAAGATGTCTGTTAGCAGAAATCTGGATCAAGAGTATAGTCATAAAGCTAGCCCAAACAAATACCTTAACTGGTAAACTAACCAGTAGGCCAAATATCGTTCCCTGGAATGACTAATAACTTATTCCTTTGAATTCTTTATCTAGACAACCAATTCAAGTATTTCACAAGAGAAAAATTGTTTTCACAATCTTTTGCATGTTAGAAATAAGGTATCTTATCCCTAACT